AGGAGGAGGAGCAATGGCAGTAGTGGTAGGAGTAGTAGGAGGAGTAGTAGTAGTAGTAGTAGCAGCAGCAGCAGCAGCAGCAGCAGTAGCAGTAGCAGTAGCAGTAGCGGTAGCAGTAGCAGTAGCAGTACCAGTAGTAGTAGTAGTAGTAGTAGTAGTAGTAGCAGCAGTAGCAGCAGTAGTAGCAGCAGTAGTAGCAGTAGCAGCAGCAGGAGAAGTAGTAGTAGTAGTAGTAGTAGTAGTAGTAGCAGTAGTAGTAGTAGTAGTAGTAGTAGTAGTAGGAGTAGGAGTACGTAGTAGGTAGTAGGTAGTAGGTAGTAGGTAGTAGGTCGTACGTAGTAGGTAGTAGGTAGTAGGTAGCAGGTAGCAGGTAGCAGGTGGCAGGTAGTCGGTAGTAGGTAGCAGGTAGTAGGTAGCAGGTAGCAGGTAGCAGGTAGTAGGTAGTAGGTAGTAGGTAGCAGGTAGCAGGTAGCAGGTAGCAGGTAGCAGGTAGCAGGTGGTAGGTAATAGGTAGTAGAAGTAGTAGTCGTAGTAGTAGTAGTAGTAGTAGTAGTTGTTGTTGTTGTAGCAGTTGTAGTAGTAGCCGTCGTAGTAGTAGCAGCAGCAGTAGTACGTGGTATACCGAGTAGTAGTGGTAGTAGCAGGCAGCAGGAAAAGAGGCAGAGATCAGTACTATTGGCAGGCGTAGTAGCAGTAGTCGCTGCAGTCGTCGTCGTCGTGGCAGTTGTAGTAGTGGTAGTAGTGGTGGTAGCAGTGGATGTACTAGTAGTCGTCATCGATCGTCGTAGTCGTAGTAGTACCAATTGGAGTGATTGATAGAAAAATCGACTTGGATCAAAAAATCAAACCCTGGGGATCAAACAATAAAACTCAAAACTTGAATCAAAACACTTGAACTAGTACTTATGCACCAGGTCTAGCAAAAAAAAACATGGGTGACGGATCAAGAAAATCACCACCACCACCGCCACTACTACTGATCTCTGTTGTTCAATTGGTGGTGGTGGTGGTGGTGGTGGTGGTGGTGGTGGTGCTGCTGCTGCTGCTGCTGCTGCTGCTGCTGCTGCTGCTGGTGCAGCTGATGGTGCTGGTGGTGCTGGTGGTGCTGGTGGTGCTGGTGCTGCTGGTGCTGCTGGTGCTGCTGGTGGTGCCGCTGGTGGTGCTGGTGGTGGTGGTGGTGGTGCTGCTGGTGGTGGCGGGGGTGGTGGTGGCGGTGGTGGTGGTGTCTCTTGCTAACTTGCTTTCTCTCTTTCTTTGTGTGACTCTCCTTGACCATCGCTATTCCATTGGGCTTGTATGTATGATGTGTATACATGTCATACCGACAAGCTAAGAAGCTTAGCAGTCAGGAGCCCGGAAAACCAAGAAGCCAGGAAGCCGCGAAGCAAGGAAGCCAAGAAGCCGAAAAGCCAAGAAGCCAAGAAACCGAGAAGCAAAAACGCAAACCTCCCTGCTTCCTTCCGTCCTCCCTCCTTCCTTCCGTCCTTCCTTCCTGCCTTGCTTATTGTCCCTTCTTGCCTCATGCCTTTCTTCCTTCCTTCATTGCTTCCTTCTTTCCTCCCTTCTTCCTTCCGTCCTTCTTGTCTTCCTTCTTTTCTTCCTGTCTTCCGTTCTCCTTCCTTCCCTTCTTCCTCCTTAATCCGCATTCCGTAGTTAGCAGCAGCAGTAGCAGTAGCAGTGGCAATAGCAGAAGTCGCAGCAGCGACAGTCGTAGCAGGAGAAGCAGTAGTAGCAGCAGCAGCAGCAACAGCAGCAGCAGTAGCAGTAGCAGAAGCAGCAGCAGTAGCAGTAGCAGTAGCAGGAGCAGGAGCAGGAGCAGCAGCTGCAGTTGCAGTTGCAGCTGCAGGGTGGCAGTGGCAGTAGCAGTCGCAGGAGCAGCAGCAGCAGTGGCAAAACCCTTCTCTGACCAGTCCCAAGCTGTCCTTGGCTTCGGTATAAAACCAAATGCATGCCAATGTGCAGGACCCCGCCCATGCCTCAGAACAAGTTGCTAAAAAGTGGTCCAGGCTCAGGTAAGCAATGACATCTATTGCAGACTGGCACGAGCCGCACGCGCAATCAGCATGGGGCGATACCAATGGCCGGGCACGATCCCACAAGTTTAATTGGCACAGCTTCGGGATTTTGCTGCCTGCATGGGGAAACCACTGCCTTTCGGACTACCGTGAGATAACGTAGGTTCCAATCTCGGCTTCAGTGGCATGAAGCATCACTACTTGGGAACATGACTCCTGCAACAGGTCCCCCCACTGTGTCGCCAACAGGAAATTCTCGTTCTGCTCTCTCGGACATGCCAGGCGAGTTTTTGGTGCTTAGTCGGTTGGAAGTGAAACCTAAGTTTGAGGCTGCTCAACACAAAGATAGATTGGTGCTGTCCGGCCAACCTCAAACGACTGAACCTTGTTCGGGCTCCCGGGTAGCGGGTGTATCTTTAGGCTCCCTGATGTGCAACTATGCCTATATGCCTGCGATAGACCGCCTTTGGGGTCGCGCTGATGGTGCACAAAAGCAGAAGACCGCACGGCTCGTAATGAAGAACTGCACTGCATGATCAAACTCTGAAGCAAACCCAGCAAAACGACCTAAAGACTTGGGTGGGGAAGCGCACCGCGTGAAATTTTGGCAAACCAAGGTCTGAAACAAGGGGGCCGTGCAATGTGATGATACATGAAGGACAAAGTCCAGAGACGCACACCTCACGCCCGTAGACCTTGTTGATTGACCTACTATTTGTGTTCCACTGCCCGGAAGGTTGCTCATTTCACCCAGTAAACTCAGTGACCAGCACATGCAACAGAATCTCTCAGAGCTCAGACAGGCAAGCTTGTAGCAGGCTTGCACAGCCCAACGAACCTAGACACGACTTGATGGCCCAGTGACAAGGAAGGAAAGGAGAACAAGTACGTGTGGTCCCGCAGCTGTACAGGTTCAGCAGTTCGAGCCGTGGCCATTGAGTTTGAGGTCTCGCGCCAGCAAGGTCTAATGTGTTGGCCACTGCACTTCCCGAAAGCTCGCGTCTTTGCGACAGTTACTTCGCAATTTGGTCGCCAAGATACACTTGCTGTAAGCAGGATCCCAACAAGCTCTCAACTTAAACGACGAGGCACTGCGGCGTCGTATGGCGTCGCAAAGCAGTACGTGGCAAGGCCCGCATATAGCAAAGGAAGGAGCTGATTGTGCCTGGGACGTTGCGGGATGTGATACGTGCCTACTAAGTCTTGTCCACCTTGTTGGCTGTGTGGATCGAGGAAGCAGGATATGTTTGATTCCCCAATTCATAAGAGTGTGGCGTTGCTGTCGGACTCTATGTGAACGGATTTGTTTACTGCCACGATTCTTCCGAAAAAAGCATGGGATTTCGCGGTGAACTTTGCGTTTCCGGCAGGGCCGGCGAGGGACCCTGCAGAACGCGATTGTAGTCGAACGTGTGCACCACCACGCGCGTGAGTGTTCTGAGGCTCGCGCGGGGGGGGACTGGAAATCATGCTCCCGCAATTGCTCCTACAGCAACCGCTGCTAGTCTTGCTACACCTACTACTACGAGGACGACGAGGACGAGGACCACTACGACGACGGCACTACCATGACGGACGGAATGATCACATGCCCGTGACCATTACATTATCAAGAAGAAGAGTTGCAGCACCCGACCATGCGCAGCTTGTTCAACAGGAGTTGCAGATCTGGAAAAGTTTGCTACAGTCTAGGGTCTTAGGTGTAGCCCTCACGGCTCCAATGCATCAGGCTTTTTTTAACAAAAAAGCCGAACTGGCGATGACTTTACAGAAAGCCAGACGTCCCCGGTCCAGGACGAAACAAAAACTTAACACATCAGCAGTTTCCCTTCACCTGTTCTGCTGCCGATGTGCGCGTCGTATCTGGCGTAGCTGGTCATGCAAGTCACAGCCAGAGGCATGGTCACCTGACAAAAGAGCTTCTTGCGCCACCGACTTTCCCCGAGACATGGTGGTAAACAGCACGGTAGGAAATGCCCTATGCAGAGACAGAGCAGCCAAAGAGAACTATTCGTGCATCTCAACCGGCAAGTGGCCATCTGAATGGCGTAATAAGGAGCAAAAAGCTGCGCACCAGCATGCCTCATATTGCTTGGAGCAGGTTAGGATGAGGGCGATTGCGGGAGTTCTGGCTGTTGGGGTTTATTGTCTTACCCCTGCACGAAGCTCGGCATCACGAGCACAGCACGGGCTCCGTCTGCCAAGCTCCGGTTTCGGCGCTCACACTCGGACAAGCCCCGGTTTAAGGCTTTCAGGTTCTCGGTGCTCCCGAGCAGAAGCAACTAACCTCACAAAGGAAATTTAAGCTCGAGATGCCATTGCCGGGCCCTCTGCTGAAAAGAAACCTACGTAGAGCATACGCCAAAAGAGATGCCGGCAGCCTGCGTAATTCAGCCAAGTGAGTCCATCCCTGCAACCGCTACTATTTTGAGATGGTCCCCAGCGACACGGCCCAGAGCTTTCACGTTCGAAGAAGATGCGAGACAACCGATAAGTGGCATGATGTGGTGATCAGGGGAAATTCATCTTCAGCACTTCTTCGACAGTAGACCCAAAAAAACACCATCCCAATTTCTTGCATGCCAGAGGCACGATTTGACGAGCAACATGATCTCGGGAGGAATATGCCAAGAACCGACGCTGCCTTGTCGCTCGTAGGCGGCTTGTTGAAAGTGTAGAGCTCACTGCTTACATACCATGGGGAGGGTTCAGACAGGGCTCATCAGACTGTGGTTCGATTTGTCTGGCGTCGGAACTGTGAGCTGAATAGTCGAGCTTCAGGCTGGCAACACCGTGTTGCTTTCTCGTCCTCATGCCTGTCTGCTGAGACCATTCCGGGCATTCTGACGGGCTTGGGTCTGAAAGCTGAACCAGTGCACCGAGCCCCATACACGTTCGGAGCATGATCGGCCCAGAACGGGTGCCCTGAAAGTCCTGGACCCGAAGATAAGCGAGTGTGGCGAAGCACCTCCCCAAAATGGCAGCACTCTGCAAAGCCTGAGCCCGTCACCAAATAAGACTGCACCCATTCCGAGGTGGAACAAGCCCGCGATGAGCAGGTTGGCACTACACAGCCTCGAATCGCCAATCGCGCAGCGAACAACTTGGGGCTGCGAGCAATGCTCGTTGCTTCCTCTGTTGCGGCAAAAACCACCGACAACTGCCTACCGACTGCTCAGACTGTGTGTTAGTTGGCAGCACTGGGCACCTAGTCCGTTATTTTCCGAAGACATGGGGTGCCCTACCTTTAATCTACTCCCTCCCTTCTTCCTGGTCCTCCACTGCTTCTTGTTGCCATCCTTTCTATCTCTTGTTGCGTGGCATCCGACAACTGTCGGCAAATCTGAACCCTCGAGCATGTACACGACTGCGATCAAATGCGGCGCTTGTTGTTACAGCTGCCAGGTCGCCTGATGAACCATCGCGGGGCGTCTTCCAAGCGCTCTTCAGTGAGCCTGCCGATGAGCTTTGAACGTTGGGCGCTCCGGCGGCTACGAACATCGCGGTCTAGGGTCGCTCAGAGTTTCTTTGACATTGGCACTCCGGAAAAATAGCAAGGGGCAAGGCCTTCAAAGCGGAGAATAAGGCTGATCGGGAGTCTGTGGGACGTCGGTCTCCCGATTACGAGAGCAAGACGCGATAATGATTCGTCAGCACAAAGATGAAATGACAGCTTTCAAAATCGCGAACACCGATAACTAAGACAGCAAGATAAGGCACAACAACACAAGTTCACTCTTTCACACTTGAGCAGGGGGCCCCCGAAAGCTAGGGGAAGGAAGCGTGGCATGAAAATGGCGGGGCCATTCGTCAAGCGAATCCACTGCAGCACAGCACTGCGAATCACTCGAGTCTGGCGGAGGCTTGGCACAAATCATCCTACACGAAAGTTGCCATGCTGCCATTTGCCTTTCAAATTGCCGCTAGAAACTAGTGCCGAATGCCGCCGCCACCTTGGTGGTGGGCTAGTGCCTCTAAATCAATCATTGGAATGTTGCCGGAGGGGCTTACAGGACCAGATAAGGTACTAGACACGATTTTGGGTCACTACTACATAAGTGAATTGGTAAACGACAACTCCCGCA